CCCAGGCTGGAGTGCAGTGGCATGATCTTGGCTTGCTGCAACTTCTGCCTCCTGGGTTCAAGAGATTCCCCTGCCTCAGCCTCCGGAGTAGCTAGGAATACAGGCTCGTGCCACCATGCCTGGCTAATTTCTTTGTATTTTTAGTAGAGATGGTGTTTCGCCACGTTGGCCAGGCTGGTCTCGAACTCCTGACCTCAGGTGATCCACCCATATCGGCCTTCCAAAGTGCTGGTATTATAGGCGTGCACCGCGCCCGGCCTGGGGGTCTGCTATTCTAAGCACAGCTCTGGCACTCAGTGGAAGTCTGTGATCTGATATCCGAGATTTACCTGGTCCTCAGGAACGTTCCTGAAAACAAAACTACTCATCCCCTCAGGCTTTTGGGACCATCCCTATTTCCCCGCGTTGGCGGTGGACCCCGGGCTCGGGCTCGCTGGGGTTTGCAATCCACGTGTCTCCCCTGCGCGCAGCAGGCGGCAGGTGCATGGGTGTGAGCAGGGCGGGGCCCCTCAGCATTCATTCCTCTCCGCTCCCTCCCCGGGGCTGGGGGTTGTGTGTGTACATAATTCAATCCCCGTGGGACTGGTGTCTGGCCTCACCCGCGGCTTGGCGGATTGGTTGTTTCAGCTCGCCCCCGCCCTCCGTACCCACGGCGTCCCAGGTGGCTCGGGCCCCTGTGGTGATCTCTGTTTACCGAGAGAGCTCATCCAAGTTGGGCTCCATCACTGCTCTTGCTCCCCTTCGGGGCCCCCGCCCGCGTGGGAAGCGGAGAGAAAGCCGGGCCCAGCCCTTCCTCGCCCTTCGCCTCCCCGCACAGCCCGGAGAGGTCGGGTAAGGGGGAAGGAGTGTACGTGGGACGGGGAGCCCCGGGCCTGGGGGATCTGGCTGTCCCCGTCCCGTTACCTCGCGCGGACCCAGGAGTTCCAGCCCTAGGCCTGGCTCCGGCTCCCTCTGCTCTGCGCCATCGCGCTCGGGGTGACCGGCCCACCCCGGGGGAGCAGCCAGAGGCTGGATCTCAGGGATGCCAGCTCCCCAGCGGAAGCACAGGCGTGGAGGCTTCTCTCACAGGTGTTTGCCCACCCCCGCAGACGGCGATGACCCCCCAGCCCGCCGGACCCCCGGACGGGGGCTGGGGCTGGGTGGTGGCGGCCGCAGCCTTCGCAGTGAACGGGCTGTCCTACGGGCTGCTGCGCTCGCTGGGCCTTGCCTTCCCTGACCTTGCCGAGCACTTTGACCGAAGCGCCCAGGACACTGCGTGGATCAGCGCCCTGGCCCTGGCGGTGCAGCAGGCAGCCAGTGAGGCGGGCTCTGAGGCGAGAGACGGGAACGGGGAGGAGGGGCTGTGAGTGGAGGGATGGGAGACCCACTGGATTACCCAACAACCTGAGAAAGGGCGACCGGCTCTAGAAAAGAGTGCATCTTAAGGTCAAGGAGAGGAACCATTAGTTCGAGGGAGGTAAACAGCCAATGAGAGGTGTTGGAGAGAGTTTGGGGGTCCGGGGGCGTGTCTTTTGTTGACTCCGCCCCCTTCCAGGCCCGGTGGGCAGCGCCCTGAGCACGCGCTGGGGAGCCCGCCCGGTGGTGATGGTTGGGGGCGTCCTCGCCTCGCTGGGCTTCGTCTTCTCGGCTTTCGCCCGCAGTCTGCTGCACCTCTACCTCGGCCTGGGCCTCCTCGCTGGTGAGGGAAGGGGGATGCCCGGGTCATTCAGGGTGAAGGTGGGGACAGGAGCTTATGGGACTGGGGTAGCGAACGAGGCGAGGGCCTGGTGCGGAGAGCAGGACTGGGAATGCTGGGGCGGGCGTCCCCAGTGCCGGCCCCCATCCCCTCCCATTCATTCGCAGGCTCTGGTTGGGCCCTGGTGTTCGCCCCTGCCCTAGGCACCCTCTCGCGTTACTTCTCCCGCCGTCGAGTCTTGGCGGTGGGGCTGGCGCTCACCGGCAACGGGGCCTCCTCGCTGCTCCTGGCGCCTGCCTTGCAGCTTCTCCTCGATACTTTCGGCTGGCGGGGCGCTCTGCTCCTTCTCGGCGCGATCACCCTCCACCTCACCCCTTGTGGCGCCCTGCTGCTACCCCTGGCCCTTCCTGGCGACCCCCCAGCCCCACCGCGTAGTCCCTTAGCTGCCCTCGGCCTGGGACTCTTCACACGCCGGGCCTTCTCGATCTTTGCTCTAGGCACAGCCCTGGTTGGGGGCGGGTACTTCGTTCCTTACGTGCACTTGGCCCCCCACGCTTTAGACCGGGGCCTGGGGGGATACGGGGCAGCGCTGGTGGTGGCCGTGGCTGCGGTAGGCGATGCGGGCGCCCGGCTGGTCTGCGGGTGGCTGGCAGACCAAGGCTGGGTGCCTCTCCCGCGGCTGCTGGCCGTATTCGGGGCTCTGACTGGGCTGGGGCTGTGGGTGGTGGGACTGGTGCCCGTGGTGGGGGGCGAAGAGAGCTGGGGGGGTCCCCTGCTGGCCGCTGCTGTGGCCTACGGGCTGAGCGCAGGGAGTTACGCCCCGCTGGTTTTCGGTGTGCTCCCTGGGCTGGTGGGCATCGGAGGTGTGGTGCAGGCCACGGGACTGGTGATGATGCTGATGAGCCTCGGAGGGCTCCTGGGCCCTCCCCTATCAGGTAAGGACCTGAGCTCGCATATCTGCCTACAACTATCCTCTGCCCCTGGGGTTAGGGGCTTCTAAATTCCCTTACCCATCTCCTCAGGCTTCCTAAGGGATGAGACAGGAGACTTCACCACCTCTTTCCTCGTGTCTGGCTCTTTGATCCTCTCCGGCAGCTTCATCTACATAGGGTTGCCCAAGGCGCTGCCCTCCTGTGGTCCAGCCTCCCCTCCAGCCACGCCTCCCCCAGAGATGGGGGAGCTGCTTCCCGCTCCCCAGGCAGTCTTGCTGTCCCCAGGAGGCCCTCGCTCTACTCTGGACACCACTTGTTGATTATTTTCTTGTTTGAGCCCCTCCCCCAATAAAGAATTTTTATTGGGTTTTCCTGAAACCTCCAACTGTTCACCAATCTAGGACCCTGAAAATATTCTACTTAAGACAGCCAGAAAGGCTGGTTCAAAGGAACAGGATCCCAGGAGGCCCTGGGTATGAAGAAGGGCGACTGTCTGTCCAGGCAACCCATTTCTCTTTGCCCAAGTCCTGGCCGGAACAGGGAATCTTTGCAAAGTTGTCTGGCAGCCAGTTTCAGTGTGTTGCTGGGGTTGGAGGTGGGTTGCTCGTGGGTGCTATCTGCCCCATCTTCATGTCCCTTACCCTAGTCCCCAGACCTCCCAGACTAACTCTTCCCTGCATTTCAATCTCCTTCTATGAGCCTGAGGGAAATACAAGAATCCTAGGCTCAGACTTCAGTTCTACCAAAGCTATCCACACATCTATAACCTGTGTCCTCAGCATTCTCTCAATTTCTTTTCTTTCTTTTTCTTTTCTTTTCTTTTTTTTTTTTTTTTTGAGACAGAGTCTTGCTCTGTCGCCCAGGCTAGAGTGCAGTGGCGCAATTTTGGTTCACAGCAACCTCCGCCTCCCGGGTTCAAGCAATTATCCTGCCTCAGCCTCCCCAGTAGCTGCGATTATAGGCACATGCCACCACGCCCGGCTAATTTTTGTATTTAGTAAAGACGGGGTTTCACCATGTTGGCCAGGCTGGTCTCAAACTCCTGACCTCGTGATCCACCCGCCTCGGCCTCCCAAAGCGTTGAGATTACAGGTGTGAGCCACTGCGTCCGGCCCTCAATTTCTTTTCTAAGCCACAGGGATAATGGGGAAGAGGGAGGTATGTGGTGGCGGCCTGGAGAGCAGAGTCCAGGGTTAAAATGCCTTGGGTCATCAGAGCTCCTGGACATCCTCCTCCACTTCCAGGCATGACACCATTCGGCCAACCCAAGCATACGGGCCCCAGCTCATTCTGAGGTTGTGATTATTATCTATCTTTCTTACTTGATTTTATCTCAAAGAGACAGTCATGTTTCCCAAACATATATCTTCAGAGAAGAAACTTGGGAGGCAACACTAGAGATGGTATATAAAACATGATAAGTCTCTTGGCCTTTGATTTTCACAGTTGATTCACACTCAGTGAAGCAGGAACTCCCGGATCCTTTAAAACTCCTGGGTCCTTTAGAAAAGGTTAAGAGAGGCTGGGTGCGGTGGCTCATGCCTGTAATCCCAGAACTCTGGAAGGCTGAGGAGGGTGGATCACAAGGTCAGGAGTTCGAGACCATCCTGGCCAACATGATGAAACCCCGTCTCTACCAAAAAAAAAAAAAAAAAAAAAAAAAAAAAAAAGGCAAATAGCCAGGAGCAGTGGCTTCCACCTGTAATCCCAGCTATTTGGGAGGCTGAGGTAGGAGAATTACTTGAACCCGGGATGCGGAGGTTGCAGTGAGCCGAGATCATGTCACTGCACTCCAGCCTGGGCAACAGAGCAAGACTCCATCTCGGGAAAAAGAAAAAAAAGAAAATGTTAGGACAGTAAAGGAGGATAAATAAGAGTCCTCAACAAAATACAAAAATACAAAGGGTTGGCACACACATTGCAGGAGCCCCAGGCCTGCTCTAGGGGGAGGCAGATCGAGAATCTTAAGGCACTGTGGTTCTGTGGAGACCAAGATGTGGCAAGAGAAGACCTGGAGCTGTCAAGCTCTGGCTTTCCGGGCCTGACTCTGTGAAGTTCAGTCCTCTTCCAGCCCCTCCTTCGGTAGGGAAACTTTAATTTCCGGTGCTTCTGTTACAAGGTCCTGGGGCCTGGAGGTAGTAGTTGAGAAGCAGGAGAAGAAGTCGGGCAGGGTGAGGAGAATTCCACTCCCTGAAAGAAGGAAGGCCCCAGCCACCACAAAAGAAGCCGTGTAGTTGCCTGTCACATCCCGGAGGTAGCCTAGGTCCAAGAGAGAAAAAGAATACACATGAGTGATCTATTTGCTGGGGCTGATGTCTCAGATACATTTTTGGGTGGAGGGAAGACTTATCATCTCAGAGGAGTTGGAACTCCCATGGAATAGTTGGATAAACTTGAGAACTCTGGTTTCCCAAAAGGGCCTCAAAAGTTAATTTCAACCACCTCCCCGCCTTCAGAAAGGACCTCCAAACCAGCCTGCAGGGATCTGGAGATCCAGATTGAGTCAGGCATACTTGTGCCTTTCTTTCTGGCAACTGTAGCCTTTCTAAAGCTTCAGTTAATGGGTAAGAGGAGATAAAGGTCTGAAACTTCTGGCAACCTGAGCCAGCAGAACTTTGACCACGTGCCTCAGATACCTGGTTTGGGGCCCAGTGGGCCAAAGGAAAGGGTGGACAGTGGAATGCTACGTCTGTGTCTGGCCAGGTTCTGCCAGGTCCTCTGAAAACCCGAGCTGTAGGCACCCTCCCAAGGGTTCCACTTAGCTTCTCTGTCTTTCCGCTCAGACTTTCCCAGCCCCAAGTTCTTTGCCCCATGGACCCATTTCAGGGATGCTATGGTTGGCCACACAGGCTGTGTACTGTACTACACCAGAGGGCAATATTCACATAAACTGGAATGAGAATAGTACCCTCCCCTAGTTGTGCAACATGGCAGCCCTCACCCCCTGGGAACCCCATTCCACTTACCTGACAGAGGAGGCCCCAGCAGTCCCCCGATGCTCTCTATCATCTGCAATAGTCCCAGGCCACAGTAAATCCTTTTAGTCCCTACTAGTTCAGGCAGTACGGAGAAGGCCAGTGGGGCTAGAGCCCCTGATGTGAAGCCGTAGGCCACAGCCAGAGCCACCAGGGCTGTGGGAGCCCGAGCTACAGGGAACAGGGCTAGTGACACCCCAGTCAAGGTGGTCCAGAGCATCAGGAGTCGTGTCACAGGCCCTGGGACTGCATCTCCCAGCCATCCAGAGACCACGCGCCCCACGAGGTCAGAAATAGCAGCAACTGAGAGTAGGAAGGCAGCAGGTAGTGGATCCCAATCCAGGTCCTGGAGATGGGCCACCAGGTGGAGGTAGGGAATGAAGTAGCCAGTGTTGATCAGGGTGAGGGCAACAGTGTAACGGAGGAAGGGGCCATGATGGAGGAGGGAGGTGAGTTGGGCCCTGGGACCACCCACAGCAGGGTCCTCAGCCAGGGAAGGTGGGCGGAGGAGAGCACCACAGGCCACCAGGTGGAGGGAGAGGGCAGACACCAGCAGTAGGGACCCTCTCCAGGCGTAGTGGCTGAGGAGCCACTGGAAAAAGGGGGCAAATGCGAAGGAGGAGAGGCCCACGCCTGTCAGAGCGAGCCCGGTGGCCAGGGATCGACGGCGAGAGAAATAACAGGACAGGCAGGCCAGGGTCGGAGCAAAGGTCAAAGCCCAGCCAGAGCCTGTCAAAAAGGAAGAAGTGGGGTTAGGAACTCTTAGGGAGCTCAAGGCACCCAGTAATCCCCGCATTGCCCAGCAGCAGAATGTAGCACTTGCTGTGGAGTCCAACAGACCTGGGATACAATCTTGGCTTGGATACTTTCTAGCTGTGTAACCTTGTGTGTTTTAACACTCCCAGCCTCAACCTTCTCAACTGCAAAATGTAATAATACACCTTTTGGGATTGTGGAAGATTAGAGACAAAGTTTGTAAGGTAATTAGCACAGAACTTTGGCGTTAGACCTGGGCTTTACCATTTCTGGCTGTGTGACCTTCATTTGCCAAGTTGTATAAGCTTTAGAGCTTTTCCTTAGCTGTAAATAGAATAATGATATCGATTTCACAGTCACAGTACCTAGCACCCTTTTTTCTTTGTTTCTTTTTTCTTTGTTTTTGAGATGGAGTTTCGCTCTGTTGCCCAGGCTGAAGTGCAGTGGTGCGATCTCAGCTCACTGCAAGCTCCACCTCCCAGGTTCACGACATTTTCGTGCCTCAGCCTCCCGAGTAGCTGGGACTACAGGCGCCTGTCACCACGCCCGGCTATTTTTTGTATTTTTTTTTTTTTTTTTTTTTGTAGAGACGGGGTTTCACCACGTTGGCCAGGATGGTCTCGATCTCCTGACCTCGTGATCCACCCGCCTCGGCCTCCCAAAGTGTTGGGATTACATGCGTGAGCCACGGCGCCAGGCCAGGTTGCATCATCCTTGAATTTCCTAATTCCTCATCATGTTTGTCGGTTTAGTCATTCCTATTAAGAATTCCCTTCTGGGTACAGGTGCTAGCTAAACTTCCCTCAGCTTCTCCCCGAACCCTTTGCAAGGAGCAGGAAGGAGGTGAACATTCAACGATCTAAGCATTTGACTCTCCTGCCCTTGTGCAGGCTCTCACCTGACAGCAACCCAATACTCAGGTATAGGTGGGTCAACGAAGTAGCGAAAGAGGCGAGCAGCATCCCCAGCGCAGCCAAGATGCCTCCGGTCATCACTACGGGCCTGGGCCCGAACTTCGTGCTCAGGGCACTGCCTACCGGGCCTGAGGAAGTGGAAGGGGCGCTGCGAGAAGATCTCAGGCGTCTCCCCGCCTAGCATCTCCCGCCCCTCGCCCTTCTCCTTCCCAGTCCCCGCATTCCCTCTCCCTTCCGAGGGTCGCAGTCCGCCAGATGCAGGCGCCGCACTCACTCCCAAACTGCTGCACCGCGATTCCTATGGAGGCGATCCAGGAGACGCGCGCTGCCTGCTCCCCAAACGCCGCCACAAACTCCACGAAGAAGACCCCAAAGGAGCGGAGCACCCCGAACACCAGCGCCGACTGGAAGAACGCTGAGAGCACCACCACCCATCCCCAGCCCCCGTCGGGGGGCTCGGTCCTGCGCGCCATCTAAGCCGTAACAGGGCTGCTGCCACCCCGAGCCTCTGCGGGAGCCGGGTTCTGGACGCTGCACCTCTGCACACCCACCCCCGCTGCCGGGTGGCTCGGGGCCGAGAGGGGTTGCAGAGGCAGGTAGAGAGGACGGTCCCGACGAGGCGGCGAGAGGCCCCTGCACCTTTTCCCAAGCGGGGGCGATATAGGACTGAAGACCAGGCCCGCGCCGGCCGGGCCAGAGTCTCCCGGAGGCGTGGTTCCGCGAGCTCGCAGCTGAGCTAGTTCAAGCCGCGGCCAGATCGATCCCGGTTCGGTGTTGGGCTGGGAGCCAGAGGGCGGAACTGCGATTTGAGCCACACCCCTGGAGCGCGCTAGTTTCCTCGTGGATGGTCCATTTTATCACTGGGGTGTCGGCGCCGGGCCACCCTGGCCAACATCCACGTCCAGAGCTCGCCAATGAGGATGCGGGGCTCCTGGGCAGGGGCGGAACCAGAAGGGCAGGGCGGGATTCAGGCATGGATGGGGACCCGGCAGTGAATGGGCGCATGCGTAAGGAGGGGCCTTAGGCGGCCGACTAGGTAGAGCCCCACGTGACGCGGGGACTGCCAGGAAGCTTCCGGGGTGCTTCTGTCTCCTGTTCACCTGGCGGCCAACTCCTCCCCATTTCAGCACCCAGAGCCACACGGAAGGGTTACTGGTGGGTAAACTGGTTCTGCAGAGGAAAGGACTGTCTTGCTTTAACGAGGGGTCCAGGAATTGCAAGGCCCTACTGGGGATAGGGGAGGGGTTAGGAGATGAGACTCAAAGGAAGTGTCTGGCGCAGCGCCTGAAGCCACTAACATGCAGCCTTAGGCACGCAGACCTAGAGGCCTGGATCCCTGAGAAGTTCAAAGGCTAAGGGAAGAGAGAAGGGGAATGAGTTGGACTCCCGGCGTTCATTTCTATAGTGGGAACTCGTTCCTGTCACTTCTGTTCCCACTAACAGGAAACCTACAGGTCACAGAGACCAAAAATAACTGAGGAGAGGAAGGGCGGCTGTAAGCTCACACAGGGCCGGGCCCCACCACCACCACCTGCCTCTTCCTCACTGGGGCTGGAACCTTTTCCTCTGCCCTCTAGTAACAACCACTTCCTAACCACCTTTTTTGCTCTGATGGTGGGGTAGACTAAAGAGAGAAACTATGACCGCGGCCACTGGAGCAGTCAGCCCCCTCTTACCCAACTAGTCCTCAGGCCCCTAGCAAACACTCCCCAGTCCTTCCCAGTCTCCATAACACCAATGGCTTGGATTTCCTGTTCCTTCATTATAAGCTATACTTCCCAGGACCCTGACCTGGAAACTGTGGACTCAAGGTTCACTCCCAGATTACTGGGGAAAGCAGCAAACAAGAAGCAGAGGCAGGGAGGGAGGCTGTGTAGTCTTAAAAAACATATTGAGCCTTAAATAATTTTATATGTGGGAAATAAAAGTAATCATCAATAATACACACATATACTTTCTAAGAGTCAAAATGTCAGCTGGTGGGGAATATGCCAAAGATGCAGAAATTGGTGTGGCTGTATTCCATAGTGATTAAGAACTCGGTCTTTAGAATCAGATCACAGTTCCAGTCTTTTATTTATTTATTTATTTTGAGACGGAGTCTTGCTCTGTGGCCCAGGCTGGAGTGCAGTGGCATGATCTCAGCTCACTGCAACCTCCGCCTCCCGGGTTCAAGCAATTCTCCTGCCTCAGCCTCCCGAATAGCTGGGACTACAGGTGTTTGCCACTACGCCCGGCTAATTTTTATATTTTTAGTAGAGACGGGGTTTCATCATTTTGGTCAGGCTGGTCTCGAACTCCTGACCTCAGATGATCTGCCTGCTTTGGCCTCCCAAAGTGCTGGGATTACAGGCGTGAGCCACCACGCCCGGCCTAGTTTTTGTTTTTTGATTAAAAAAAAAAAAAAAATCAAATCCAGGTCATGGGTTTAAAAAGATTGAGAAAGAACCACTGCGATGGTTTCAATGTTACCTCCAAAAACTCATACTGAAACTTAATCCCCAACATGGCAGTACTGAGAGGTGGAACCTTTAAAAGGGGATTGGATGGGATTAATGGATTAATGAATCCCCATGAATTAGCCCACCATAGTGGATTAATAGGTTAACAGATTAACCCCATCATAAAGGACTAATAGGTTAATAGATTAATGGGTTATCATGGGAGAGGAATTGCTGGCTTTTTCAGAGAGATCTGACCTAGAACATTAGCATGCCCAGCCCTCTTTGCCATGTGACACCCTGTACCACAGAGAGCCCATATCAGCAAGAAAACCCTCACTCGAGGGTGAGGCCCCTGGACCTTGGATTTCTCAGCCTCCACACTGTAAGAAATAAATTCATTTTCTTTACAAATTACCCAGTTTCAGATAATCTGTTGTAAGCAACAGAAAATGAACCGGATGAGACAGAAAATTGGTACCCAGAAGTGGGGTATTGCTGATAATGAAAACCTGAAAATGATGAAGTGGCTTTGGAAGTGGGTGATGGACAGAGGCTGGAAGCATTTGGAGGAGTAGGCTAGGAAAAGCCTAGATTCTGGTGAGAGCTTAGAAGACAAGAAGACTATGAAAAGCTTGGAATTCTTTAGAGATTGGTTAAGTGTTTAGGACTAGAATGTTGATAGAAATATGGAAGCAGCTGGGCGTGGTGGCTCACGCCTGTAATCCCAGCACTTTGGAAGGCTGAGGCGGGCAGATCACAAGGTCAGGAGATTGAGACCATCCTGGTCAACATGGTGAAACCTGTCTCTACTAAAAATACAAAAATTAGCTGGGCGTGGTAGCACGCGCCTGTAACCCCAGCTACTCGGGAGGGTGAGGCAGGAGAATTGCTTAAACCGGGGAGTCGGAGGTTGCAGTGAGCTGAGATAGTGCCACTGCACTCCAGCCTGGGCGAAAGAGCGAGACTTCATCTAAAGAAAAAAAAAAGAAATATGGAAGCAAAAGCCATTCTGGTGAGCTTTCAGATGGAACAGAGGAGCAAGGTATTGAAAACTGGAGTAAAGGCCATCCTTGTTACGAACTGGCAAAGAGCTTGGCTGAACTGTGTCCATGCCCAAGGGCTTTGTGGAAGGCTGAACTTGAGGGTGATGAACTAGGGTATCTGGCAGCCAGAAGAAATTTCTAAGCAGCAAAATGCTGAGGCTGCTGTGTGGTTTCTTCTAACTGCTTATGATGATCTCACAGAGAAAAGAGAAACAGAGTGGAAGAATTTGGAAAATTCTCAGCCTGGCCATGTGGTAGAGAATGAAAGAGCGTTTTCAGGAGATGAATCCAAGGGTGTGGCCAAGCCACTGCTTGCTAAAAAGATTAACATGGCTAAAAGGGAGCCAGGTGCTATTCCTCAAGAAAAGGGAAGAAAGTCCCTGAAGTCATTTCAGAGGTCTTTGAGGCTGCCCCTCCCATCACAGGCCCAGAGGCCTTGGAGGACAGAGGGTTTCAGGGGAAACCTGCGTGTTCTCCATGGGCTCACTGCCCAGGGCAACCTCAGGACTCTATACCCCACACCCCAGTGTAGCACTCTGTGGCCCCCCCCAGCCTGGTGGTAGCTTAGGTAGCCCCAGGTGTTGCTTTTTTGTGTGTGTTTATGTGTGTGTGTGTGTGTTGCTTGTGTTGAAGCTCCAGAAGGTGCAAATCATAGACCTTTACTGCATCCTTGTGGTGCTAATTCTGCAGTCTTGCAGAAAGTAAGAGCTGTGAAGGCTTGGCAGCCTCCACACGGATTTCAAAGGACGTTGTTGAAAGCCTAGGGGCCCGGGCAGAGACTTGTCATGGGGCAGAGCCACCGCAGAGAGCCCCCACCAGAGCAATGCCCAGCAGAAATGTGATGTTGAAGTTGCCTCAGAGAGTGCCTGCCAGGACAGTGCCTATTGGAATTGTGGAAGCGAGGCCACTGCAGGGTCCCCCCCTGGGGTAGTCCTTGGTGGAGCCATAGGAACAAGGCCAATGCAGAGAGTCCCCAGGAGGGCAATGCCTAGTACAGCCGTGGAAGCAGGACCACCACCAGGCCCCCAGAACTTTGGAGTCACAGGCAGCAGGCAGTGCCCCACCCCACTCCCAGGAAACTTCAGGCACCAGACTCCAACCCACCCACCAAAGCTATAGGGGCTGGGTTGTCTGAAGCCTTGGGGAGCCAACTCCCACCCTGTGTTCAGGAGGCTCCGCACGTAGTCAAAAAAGATTATCCTCTACCTTTGAGATGTAATGTTGGCCAGGCGCAGTGGCTCACACTTGTAATCCCAGCACTTTGGGAGGCCGAGGCGGGCAGATCACAAAGTCAGGAGTTCGAGACCAGCCTGGCCAACACAGTGAAACCTCATCACTACTAAAAATACAAAAATTAGCTGGATGTGGTGGTGGGCACCTGTAATCCCAGCTACTTGGGAGGCTGAGGCAGAAGAATCGTTTGAACCCAGGAGGCAGAAGTTGCAGTGAGCCAAGATTGTACCACTGCACTCCACCCTGGGCGACAGAGCTAGACTCTGTCTCAAAAAAGAAAAAATAGAAAAGGTGTAATGTTGGCCCTGCTGGGTTTCAGACTTTCTTGCGGCCTGTTTCACCCGTTTCTTCTTGCCAATTTCTCCCTTTTGGAATGGGAATGTGTACGCTGTGCTTGTTCCCACCATTATATCTTGGAAGTAGATAACTTGTTTCATAACTTGGAAATAGATGACTAGCTCACAGGTGAGTCTTTGATGCTGCAATGAGTGAAGACTTTGGGATTACGGGAATGGAATGAATGTATTTGTATGTGAGAAGCACATGAGTTTTGGGGACCCAGGGACAGAATGCTATGGTTTGCATGTCTCCTCCAAAAATTCATATGGAAACTTTCGGTCCTCAACATGACAGTATTGAGAGCTGAGGCTTTAAAGAGATGATCAGGTGCCGGGCGCGGTGGGTGCCTGTAATCCCAGCTACTCAGAAGGCTGAGGCAGGAGAATGGTGTGAACCCAGAAGGTGGAGCTTGCAGTGAGCCGAGATCACGCCACTGCACTCCAGCCTGGGAGACAGAGCGAGACTCCATCTCACAACAACAGCAACAACAAAACCAAACAACAACAACAACAACAAAGAGATGATTGGATCCTGAGGTCTCTGCCATTCTTGGATTATGGGTTATCATGAGAGGGGAACTGGTGGCTTTATAAGAAAAGGAAGAGAGGCCTGAGCTGGCCATGTTTGCACACTTGCTACCCCTCAGCTGATACCCTGCGCTGCAGAGAGCCCCCTCCAACCAGAAGAGCATCACCAGATGTGGCCACTTGACCTTGGGCAAA